GACCAAGCGACATTAATTTGGACCTAAAGAAACTGATTTTGTTAGTTTGTTTATAATTAAGCAGAAAGCTACACAATGGGCTACCTGTGCTCTGCTCACCACGGGTATCGAAACCCGGTTTCTAGCGTTGTAAGTCCGCAAACATGCCGCTGTGCCACTGGGGGGGGGGCAAAGAAACTGAACATGAAGAGTTTACTTCTGTAATGTTCATGTTCGTGTTTGATTAATGTATAACTCGTAATTAAAGAACTGAACATGGCCAGGTGGTTAGGGCGCTTGACTCGCAATCTGAGTTCGTCGTTTCAGCCGTGGGGACGTTATAATGTGACGGTTAATCCTGCTATTCGTTGGTAAAAGAGTAGCCCAAGAATTGGCGGTTGGTGGTGATGACTAGCTGTCTTTCACTGCTAAATTAGGGACGGCCATCTCAGATATCTTTCGTGTAGCTTTGCCCGAAATACAAAACAAACCATTTTTAGTTTTAGTAAAGGAAATTGAACCTGTACATATCATTACTGTGATTAGCTGCTTATTTTTACTTTATTACTTGTATTTATGGCAAATCTACCAAGGCTATCTGGCTCTGTCCCTATTTTTGAACTACTGCCCAAATGTAATTCAGTCTGTCAGCAGCATCCTACCTCCAAATATCCATGGTAAGGGACTGGCTGTCACTTTTAAAACGCACACACACAGCTTAAAATGCAAGGAAAATTTTGTGCTATCGCATGGATTCGAACCCGACTCGCCAGTAACGAAATTGAGAGTTCTACCTCAGGACCAATCCGCGCAGTATGCAGTTTTAATTGTAACTATAGACTCTGAACACGAAGAGATCAATATTGGAATGTTAATATTAATATTTATTGTAATACTCGTAATTAATGAAAACTGAAACATAGGGTAGTGAATAGGAATGTAATCTATTTAATCTAGTTTCATACTTCTATTACAGTATTATCTGTGCTGTGGCACGTGATCCTTTGACATTGGCCACCGATTATATTACCCAAAGGAAATGCTGTTCAATTATACAGGCATTAGGGACATTAATGACTAGCATAACTTCATGATCTATTGAAGACAAAATTCAACGACTCTGTTGCTTTGTAAACAAAGTCTACTGTAGCATGGAATTAAATATGTTTACATCACAACATTGAGCCTCAATTCGTCTCCTTTCTCAGTCTTGTCAGTACGCACAGAGTTAGATGTTTCTACCAAACTACTGTAAAATAGAATAGAAATTATTACAGAAGTTCAAATTTTCTATTTATTAAAAGAGGATTATACGATGTTTATTAAATATTGGGAAATAACTTTTGTAACATATGTAGCATAGACAACTGTTTCCAAGGGACAAAAAAATGAAATGTAGGATACGACGGACGCAGAATTCACGCTAAAGATGTAAAAAAAGGGTCCTTTGAGAATGACCATTTTTTACTCTATCGAGATTGGAACTATAAATACGTTCCCTGCATTTTTATATCTGAGTCTTCTAATTGGTTTATTTATTTGTATTTTGTTTTTATGACTAAATTAATGCTATCTGCCACCGTCTCTAATTCAGAACTACTACCCAGAGCATCACCCTACCACTCACGTCAAAGGATTGACTGTCACTCTTATAAAGCACCTGTGGCTTAAAGTATGGGAAATATTGTGTGGTATCGCACGGATTTGAACCCGGTTCGCCAGCTCCAAAATTCAGAGTTCTACGACAGGGCCAACTCGTGTCCTATAATGGTTTTCTTAACATAATATAAAATTCTGTTTAATTTCAGTTGTCGCAGCCTATAAAAGTTCAAATTCTGTTTAATTTCAGTTGTCGCAGCCTATGAAAGTTAAAATTCTGTTTAATTTCAGTTGTCGCAGCCTATGAAAGTTAAAATTCTGTTTAATTTCAGTTGTCGCAGCCTAAAAAAGTTAAAATTCTGTTTAATTTCAGTTGTCGCAGCCTATGAAAGTTGCGTATCTTTTATATTTCTTTACACATAAATGTGTTAATAATGCTGCATTTGTGACTATCACATATTTTGATAGTCAAATTTCAAGTATAAAAGTATATTCTTGAAATTTTAATAACTTATGAAAGATTCAAATTCAATTACAAACATGTAACGGATACTGAAAATATTTAAAACATAGTCAGCCGCTTTAAAACTTGAATGAAAAGTTTAACAATAATAAACTTGACCGTAGCCACTAACTTACAATTTATTAGCAAATATCTATTGAAACAATTCAACGGTAACTTTTCTAAAAGTAGTAATGGATAAAGATAAGATGTGCAGTCATCCCACTCCCTTGGATCAGAACGTATATGCAATATGATTGTCTAGTGGGCCGTTTAAAACCGTATTTTGTCATTCCATGTGTTATTTCAATAACGAAAATTGCATTGCGTTTGTTTCTAAGCATAAACTGGATACAATGCATTGTTGGCAAAAATGTTTGGTTTTCGATGCAATGGGTGCATCCAGCAGATTAGAGTGCTCAGGTTTGTTAAGAAGCCGCTGGTATATTTTCGCTGGATGCCACTGTTCTTTACCATTTTACTGTGTGCAAGGAAATACCGCTATAAAAGTAAACGCTTTTTGACAGCTGTCATTTCTATAAGAAGTGTAAAAGGGGAGATATTCAATTCAGTCGAGTTCAATTTATTCAACATGGTACGATAAAATCATGCACGTATACAATGCCGACAAGAAAAAATAAGAAATAAATATATAAATCAAACAACAAATATATACTCAAACACGTTCCTCTCTTAATATGTTTTTTCCGTTTTTGCTCCTATCTTCAAAATATTTTTTTGAAAATCCCGTATTTCTTCATGAAATTCCCTCACAAAAAGTAACATTTGTTCTTAATAAGTTTTTCTTCTTCTCAGATTGAACATTCAATACATACAAAGACTGACGAATCAACGTTGATATCAATATGAAACTAGGAATTGTAAAAAAATGAATGATGTTCCTGTAATATACTTTGGAAAGGAAGCATTTTGATATATGTAATTTTTTGTACGATTAACTGTTCAGGAGATACAAAGTGTGACAGACATTTGGCCTTTTTTCATTGGTTTTGATTATGAGTTGTGGTTGGGGAGGAGTTAACTTCATTTTACTTTCATATTACAATTACATCATTGTAAAAATTTACTCGTATCTCCTTCGATAACTTTGAGACAGGAATATAAGAATGATGAGAATCATCATGATCAACTGAAAACGTTTTCAATAACATTTCTTCTAGACATACTAAAAAAGCGTAAGAATCAGATTTAGCTTTTTTCCTTTATTTATTTATTTTTCTACAGAAATGCTTTTCTAAGCCGTACGTATAGCAACTAAATACCTAAACCTAATGTTAAATGTGTTACCAAGTGCTGAACTAAATACCTAAACCTAATGTTAAATGTGTTATCAAGTGCTGAACTAAATACCTACACCTTATGTTAAATGTGTTATCAAGTGCTGAGGTGTAAGACATCTACACTGGTTAATCTGAGAAAACCTGTGAGCTTAGTTTATATAAAGAAACATCACATGCAACTTTAGGTGTTTTTTATCAAACCAAAATGTCAATACTGCATACAAGTACCAGTACTGATACTGCAGATCTCGCCTAGCTCAAGAAAATATGTTTTAGTGAACAAAAAAGCAAAAACCGTCTCGTTGTAAGATAGATCAGAAATTCTTCTTTTTAAACATCTCTGTTTGGGTTCTACAGAGGACCTATGACCAAAATCTCCTAAGCTGGCCAAACCTCGTAAGTTGTTATTGGAATTATGACCGAAAACATCGCTAACTGTATCCTAATCATTAACAGTTAAAACAGTATATCAAATGAAGTATATTTATTATTCGGTAGCTTTGTGCTTAATTACAAACAAAAAAAAGCGTCCAAATAGAAAAAAAAATATATTTTTGAATGTAGTTTTTAATGCTGATTTCAGAAATATTAATTACAATTTTGAGAAATTAAAAGAAATAGTTTTAACATTTTTTGTATTTTGCTAAGTTATGTCAGTTTATGGGAAGTTAGATAAAGTTAGACTAATTAGTAAACAATTTAATTTTAAAAAATCTCAAAAAATCAAAATATTTTTCTATTCTTTCCCATTTAAAAATCAATTCTCAAAATTTTAATTTATATATCTGAAATCTGCAGCAAGTTCAAAGTACTTAGAATGTTGTTAAGAGACGTAATAAGAGACATTGTGAAACCAATCGTAACATGATTGACTCGTATCTCTGCGAATTCGTTTGGCGTCGTAGGCATGAAAATTATTATCTCTTCAAGCAAATATTTAAGAATATTTCTGAATTTTCACATTGAATTTATTACATTGACACTAGATACTTTGTATTGTCTTGATGTCTTGCAATTTTTTTTAAATACATAGGTTTATATGTAATGCTAAAAGTATTTCCTTTGTTTCGTAAGCAAAATATAGAATTTTTAAAAAATAGTTTTTTAATTTATATTTCTGAAATCAGCATTAAAAATTACATTCAAACATTTTTTTTTCTATTTTGACGCGGTGCATGAAACAGAAAAGATCCAGATTCAGACTTTATGACACATTTAAAAGCACAACATGAATGATTTTATTGTGTTTAATTTTTTCATATAAAAGAATATAAAACGTTTTGTGTAAATTAATATTGATACTATTGAATATATTCATGATATTTCATTTTAGTTAAGTTTCTGATAAATGCTATATTTGTTTCGTAAAAGAAAAATTACCTTAATTGTTATTGATCTTATTGTGCTTACTCTCGAATGCCCCGGAACGAAGAAGTAAATCCACGTACTTGGTATCAGGAGGTTCTCTTTTCACCTGGTGCGTGGGTGAAAACAGTGATGACGTTAATGTTAGTACACCACTCACTAAATGTGTTGTCCAGACGTCATGAGCTTAGAGGTACTGTATATTAAATACCAGCGAAAGAACCACCAGAAGCGAGACAGCCACCTGCTACCAAGAGCAGAATTTACTTTCATTGGTTCAGAAGGACACGTGCTGCAGGCGGTCCTATTACGACTTGTGTTATCAAAGAATAAAAAAGCCAGTCGCACAAAGGCATCGAATATCTGAAGGCTCCAACTAACTCTAAGTTCCAAGTTAGTTCCATTAATTGAAAAATAAGGAGCTCAGGCATATAAACCTGGTGGACATTTTCTAGATATTTCTAGTTAGTTTAAAACAGAATCATCTAGAACGTTAACAGACCGAGAACGTGAAGATGGCCAAATTGTGTCCGATTTTCATTTGGAGCCTAAAATGGACAATGTTGGCTTTGGTAATGACGATGACAGGTTAGCTTATTATTCCTATGATTTTTTTCGCTTCGTCATTTCATATCAAAATGTAATAAAATTATGTATTACTGTTGTGTTGCCCAATCCTTACAACAATTTACTTTTAAGATTTATTTACGCTTACATATTTTCTTGTTTTTTTGTTTGTTTTGAATTTCGCGCAAA